CTTATTTTCCACCATGATTTGCAAATAAATTCTTTAAAAATCAGACAATGTGATTTTCTGGATTTTCCCCCCCCATTTTGTCTCTTATAAGTTGAGGTATACCTATGATGAAAATTACAGGCCTCTCTCATCTTTTTAAGTGGGAGAACTTGCACAATTGGTGGCTGACTAAATACTTTTTTGCCCCACTGTAGGTGAATACCCAAACAATGTGGTATGCCTTGTGTTAATATGTCAAAGTCTGTTAATTTTATTTATGCATTTATTACAGTTATCTACATACTACTTTCATGACTCCATATCTATTCAGTAATATTATCAACCATCAATAACATTATAACAAATAGTGTTTAAAAAAACAAAACAACTTCTGGGATCCTTTAGCTAGGGAAATTGATAGCCATAGTCTTATAGAGCAAAAGACAGCCTAAGAACTGTAGATCAGGTCTCTGGGTTATTCTTACTTGGATTCCTACTTCTATGTATTTTATTTCTTGTTGAAAAAACTTTTACATTACAATTTACATTACAATGTATAAGCTGTTACAAAGCCTTTTCAATACATTACTTTCTTTTAAAAATATAACCACAGAAATGGTAAAGATTGGCTTTATTTTAAGGGCAGAGTACAATGTTTTCACAGAAGGAGCAATGAAGGATCTATTGAGCATGTCTAATAAGCAAACATCCACTTGTAGTATAGGACTTCCATTCATTCTCCTTTTACTTCACAAGCCCTAGTTCTAATGTAGACTGCCCTTCACCTACTGAAGCAGTTAAAGTGGAGAAATCCCTTCAGTTGCACAGGTATATTCAATTTTTGAGAGATATGTTCCAAAAAGAGAGAGGGGTAGAACAAACATGAGAAGTGGGTAGGAGAGAATATAAAAATGTAACTGGATTTCATTTTAATTTAGGTTACATTAAAACACATTTAATAAAATATTAATAGGATAACTCCCAGTGTATTTTAAAAAAAAATTTCTTTATCTGTCACATTAAAGTTGATAATTTCCCATTATTCTGAGTAAGTTTCCAGGAGGACACAGTCACCATCCCCTAATCCACCATCTCAATCACCCGTGCTTCTGATCTGCTCTAGAGCATCTCATCACTTTCCAGAGTAGAAGTGGGGCTGTAATAAGAGGTTAATCTGTCCTGTCAGCATTTTATAATAGCATTGTATAGAACTTGCAGAACAAAAACTCTCTCTCCCAGCAACCAATTATGTCAGCCTTCTCTGTCCTCCAGATGTATTGGGATTGCAAATCCCAGAATTCTTAGCCAAGTTGACTAGGAATTCTGGGAATTCTAGGAACAAAACATAAGGAAGGTGCCTAGCTGGAGAAGGCCTTATAATTCATATCAAAGAAATAGCCACTCAGAGATACAAGATAGCATCCTCGCTGAAATTATAAACCAGAAATCCAATTACATTTTTAAAAAACCAGCCTTGTAGCACCTAGCCCTCAGATTTGAGCTAATTAATTGTAATTGAGTACAACACATATAGGATATCTGATATGAGTCCTCTCCTCTTCAAGGTGGCACATCTTTTCCTTCCCACTACCATGACCCAGTTTTCCCATGTTTTCACATTGCACACGTATTTTCCATCAGTGCAAAGATTATGTATGACAATATAAGAATCAATGTGGGTGCTAGAGATGGTTATAGTTGCTATCATGAGCATTTCTCCTTTGGCAGCAGACAAGATCCACAGTTAGCTGGCTTGACTTTTTGCCAGCTATTATATTGCTTTAAGACAACACTTGACTGAACAAGCTAATGTTTTATTCACAGGTGCGAGGCTACCAGGAAATAGAAATCTTGATGCAATCCTGCTGGGCAGTTTTGAAACTCTTAATGAAAGGCAGAAATTTTAGATGATTTCTTTAGACTGAAGCAACGTCTAACCAAAAGTTTCAAAATTGTTTGTACTTCGGCTATAGCTATAGGCATGTGATAAATAAATGTACAATGATTGCGACTAACCTTTGATACAGCACTGAGTAAATTAAAATTTATTTAGCCATTACTATAAACTATGTTGTTAAAACTAGCAATCTACAAGTGAATTACGTATTCAATCATCTCTAACTATAACCGTCCGAGAATCTTAGCACAGCAAGCTAAGTCATGTCCAAATTCTGAATCATCACAGGCTTTTCTCAAAGTTGCATGCAAGTGATGCCTTAATGATTTCCACCTCCAGCTCTAGATTTGGCCTTCTCTACCACCTCCATAAGATAGTCATTTGTCTCAGTTTAGCCAAAACATGGAGCTGTGTTTGAACCAGCTAAGTCCAGATTTTAAGATTTTAATCTAAGTTTTAGATTATGATTAAGGAATGGAGGTTTAACCATAAACGGGTTGTGACAGGCTCATACGGCGTGTTACACTAAGCCACAATTCGGCTGAAAATGTCATGAGAACATGGTCCCATCACTGTGAAAGTTCTTTCTCTATGAAATTCATATAGACCTGTCACTAGAAAGTTCACTATCAGATTAAGTCTTTTCTGTTCAGGAAAGCTGTACGTTTGTCTTCCATCTGATC